AAGGGTATACAAGGAACCTAGGGGATAAAGGGAAAGAAGGAGCTCAAGAGAGATAGGATCGTAGGAGAAGGGTATTATTAAGGGAGAAAGGAGGGAAATGGGGGTACCTTAAGTGGGAAAACCATGATGGAGGGGTGAGACAATGTGAGAGATAAACAATGCCTATCTAGTTTTGAAAACCAGAGAGAACCATATTACTCCTACAACCTACTGACAAATTATACATAGCAGATCAAAAAATATATGTCTAGGTAAGGTTTATCTGAGAATAAAATGTACATTTTTATGTATTTGACATTCAAAAGCATTACATCCAAAGATATTTAAAATACTTCATTGTATTTGTTTTTATTATTAGGTATCACAATAATTTGGCAGCTGCAAAGAAAAAGGAGTTATTACAAAAGGTATGAATGATAAAACTCTGGTTAAATTATCATTTAAATAATTGAGTATAGATATATGTGACCTGTTGACAATAAGAACGAAAGGGATAATAGATGTTTATGGCTATTTCATTTCTTTTCTACTAGGCAAAATCAGAATTTAATTTCAGCAGCAAGACCTGTAAAGAATTTAATCACTATTTGACAGTTATGGTTGGCTGCCTATGGACGTCCAAACCATTTGAAAAAGGAGACTACTTTGATCCCCAAGTCCTAGAAAAAACTGGAATGGCTGAGTATAAGCACAGTTTGAATTTAGTCCATCATCCTTCACTATTGAGTTACGCGGCTTCCTTTCTGTTACAGGTAAGGGCATTTAAAGGATCAGGTTTTCTTTATTACTAAGTACATTTTGATCATTGTGCTAGGCTTTGGGGAACTTAAAGTCTGTCCTCTAAAAGAGCTTAGCCTTGTGACAGAGGCAGACTTCTTAACAGATGATAATTTGATGAGGTAAAGACACAGAAGTTACATACAGTTATGAGAAAGACAGGAGATAATGAGTTCAGTTTTGCTTGAGTTGAAGCTCTCATGTTGCTTCTAGCTAAGACTGAAAATGGATGCTGGGTACCATTGTTATTAGAGTCTTAGTCAAAGTCTGCTGATTTTATGTATTGATGATATGTAGTAGGTGTGGCAGGGATGTGTGTGAGGATTCCATTTTCTCCCAAATACTTCCCTACATGTATTATCTGTGTTTTAAAAATTTTTTTTTATTGTTTTTAAAATTTCATATGTCTTTCCCACTCAAATCCAGACCCGCTCCTCCATCCATGCCTCCCCCCATCTCCCCACCAAATCCTGTGCACTCTGCCCTACATGCTGAGTCCTATTCATTCAGGTGTTTGTACCCAAATGCCCTTCAGTGTAAATGCATCCACTGGAGTCTAGTTAGCTCATCCAGTGGTCGTATATAAGCCATACTCTCCTTCACCCAGTAGCAGTCAGTCTCAAATAGTTCTCAATCTAGTGCTGGCCCACCACCTATTTCTCACCTCCCCTTTGGGACCTTGTTTAATTGAGCTGACATTTGTCCCGAGTTCGATGCCACAGCTGCCGCAGGCTCACATGAGCAAGCCTCAAGTGGACTGGAAGCCTCCACTTCCTCATGTTTGTGTATCAACTCTGGCTCTTACATTTTTTTCCTGCCTCCTCTTCCGCAATGGTTCCTGAGTTGTGGGTAGGTGAGGTTCCATACAGCAGTCCCATCCTACACTCTACAGTCTCTTATTCTCCAAAACTTGGCTAGTTGAGGTCTTCTGTGTGTATCACACTCTGATGTACATGGAAGCCTGACTGGTGAGAGTTGAGAGGTACATTAGCCCTCTCTCTATCCCTTATTCCGCTCTGTTCCATGAGCCCTGGTTGTAGAGATTTGACTGTAGATGTGTCACCTAGTGCTACTGGGCATCTACCAGATGTATGTTCTCTGTGCCCGACCAGATGTACAACTCTGCAGTAGCCTCCATCAGTTGCAAAAAGAAGCTTCTTTGATGAGTGCTGATGGCATGTTTGTTGCTCTAAGGGAGGTCTCTTCTATCTGGCACTACATTCCCTGCCCAGCAGCTCCCAGGTATACATATGCATTAATGTTCAGACATTCTACATGCATTTCTTATAGGGTTTTCAAGGCATCACTTTTCCCTCTAGGTTTCTAGCCCCCCAAGATTCACTCATCTGTACCCTCTTTTTCTCCCATCCAGCCTCCCTCCTCCCTCCTTTCGCAGTCACAGTGTCCCTGTTATCCCAACCATACCTCCCAACGCCCACCATCTTTCCTTTTCTGACTTCCCTCGCTCCTCCATACTATGGTCCTTTGCATTTATGAGTATGAGTGTCTTGTCTGCATGTATGTAAGTGCATCCATGTCATGAAATGCTCATGGAGACCAGAAGGGGGCGTTAGAGCACCTGGAACTGTCATTACTGACGCTTGTGAGCTACTACGTAGGTGCTGGGAACTGAACCCAGGTTCTCTTCAAGAGCACTCACAGCCACTGAGCCATCTCTCCAGCCCCTATTATCTGTATTTCTTATTTTTAGTTATCTTAAGGCATATGAGTTATATTGTATTGGGATATTGATTTTCCATGATCATTTTTCACATACTTATTGTCTACTTGTCTATTTTCTTTAGAGAAATATTTTTTCAGATACTTTGCCCTTTTTTTTTCTTCTTTTTTAGTGACAGTCTTATGTAGTTGAGGCTGGCCTCAAACCTGCTAGGTAGTTGAAGACTACCTTGTACTGCTGGTCTTCCAGCCTCCACTGCCCAAGTGCTTGGAAGTACATGGGTGTAACACCATGTCTGGTTTATGTGGCAATCAAATGTAGGGAGGGCTTCACGCATGCTTGACAGGCACTATACCAGCTGAATCCTACCCCAGCCCTTTTTTGAACGTTTTTTTTTTTTTTTTTTTTGAGACAAAGTCTCACTCTGTTGCCCAGGTTGATGTGGAACTCACTGGATATCCCAGACTAAATTCACATTTGCTGTGATTCTCCTGCTCCAGACTGCTGGGATTACAAGTGTGGGCTACCATACCTGGCTTCTTGGCTTGTTTTTTGTTGTTACTTCTTTTTTTTCCTATATTTCATTTTTTTCTTTTTTCCCCATTGCTCATTTTTAATTGGATTATGTGCCTTTTTCTTATTGAGTTGTAATAGTTCTTTCTATATTGCAAATATAAATCATTTAAATATATAATTGACAAAAGTTTTCTCCTATTTTGTAGGCTGTCTTCTACATTTTGGTATTTACTTATTTATTGTGTATATCTATGTAAGTCTGTGGGTATGCATGTGCCATGGCACATGTTTGGAGGTTAAAGGACTTGTAGGTGTTAGTCCTGTCCTTCATGTGGCTTCTAGGAATTGAACTCAGGTCATCAGGTGTGGTAGCAGGTGCCTTTACCTATTGAGCTATCAATCCATCTTTTACTTTTATGCTGGTATTTTTCTGAAGCACAGGAGTTTTTTCTTTTCTTTCTTTTTTTTTTAATTTGGTCTTTTTGAGACAGGGTTTCCCTGTAGTCCCAGATGGGCCAGAACTCAGTATGTAGACCAGGCTGGACTTGAACTTACAGAGATCTGCCTGCCTCTGCCTCCTGAGTACTGGGACTAAAGGCGTGAGCCACCATGCCTGGCATGAAGCAGAGAAGTTTTTAATTTTTGAAGTTACTTACAATTTATTTTGATCTTTTGAATGTTTAACATTCCTTTGGGGCTCATGCAAAATATAATGTTCTTATTCTTCTTCTGTTGTCAAAGCTAGGAAATTGCTGTCTAACCCAAGGTCACATTTCAATTCCTTCAAATTTCATGTGAATTTCACAGTTTGTCAGTTTCTATGAAGGATTTTGCTGGGATTCTGATGTGTAGAACCATGATGATGTGGTTCAGTTTGAGTGCTATTGCCATCCAATATAACAGTATTAATAATACTCAGTCCTTCAGTGCAGGGCTGTTAGATGTCTTCGTTTGTATAGGTCTCCTTTAGTTTATGCTGCAGCCTAGTTAGGCTTGTTTATTAGATAGGCCTTTTAGTTTATTCCTTAGGATATTCTGTATAATAATTTGTGCCATGTGAAACAGGAATAGGTTGATTTCTTTCAAATTTGGATGCCCATTCTTTATCTTGCCTAATTATACTGCCCAGAACTATAGAAGTGATGGGAGACAAAAGTGGTAAGGCTAGCTACTTGTTCATAGTGGGAACATTGTTTGTTACCAGTGTGATGGGTATGACTTTTCAGGCTGAGGAGCTTCCCTTCTGTTTCCAGTTTGTTGAGTGCATGAGTGTTACATTTGGTGTAGTGTTTATTTTCTGTATCTATAAACATCATACGGGTTTTTTATTGTCCTCTGTAATATTAGTATAGGGTATCTTGACCTGGGCCTTTAATCCCAGATCTCAGGAGACAGGCAGGTGAATCTCTGTGAGAATGAGGCCAGCCTGGTTCATATAGTGACTTTCAGATGGGCTGGGACTAGGGAGACCCTGTCAAAAACAACCCAAAAAATATTAATATGGTATATGTATTAGTTACTTTTCTGTTGCTGTGATAAAACACCATAACCAAGGCAGCTTATAGAAAGGAAGAATATATTTGGTTTACAGTTCCAGAGGGATAAGACTCCATAATAGAGGAGGCAGCATGGGAGGAGGCAGCTGGAGCAGAAAGCTGAGAGCGCACATCTTTAAGCACACACAGAGCAAAGAGAGACATCAGAAATGGGACAGGGCTGTGAACTCTCAGAGTCCTCCCCCACTGACCTGCTTCCTCCAGCATGGCCACAACCTCCTAAAGGTTCCATGACCCTCTCCAAACAGCACCACCAACTTGTCAAATTTTCAAATATTTGGAGTCTATGGGGGACATTCTCATTCAAACCACATTAAGTGATCTTTAGATGTTAAAGTAACTCTGTGTGCTGGATAGCTTTAGTGTCAACTTGACACACCTGGGTTGAGGGAGCCTCAGTTGGGGGATTGTCTCTATTGGACTGGCCTGTGGCCATGTCTGAGGGGCATCTTCTTGATGAGTGATGTGGAAGGGCCCATCCCACTGTGGATGGTACCACCCCTGGGTAGGTGGGCCTGTGTTGCATAAGAAAGCAGCCTGAGCAGGGGCCAGGAGAGCAACCTAGTAAGCAGCGTTCCTCCATGGCCTGTGCTCCAGCTCCTGCTTCCAGGTTCCTGCCCTGAGTTCCTACCTTGGGCTCCCTGAAGAACTGCGACCTGGGAGATGTAAGCTGAATAAATCCTTTCCTCCCCAAGTTGGTATTGGTCAGAGTATTTTGTCACAGCAATGAAGAACAAACTAAGACACTCTCTATTCCTAGTATAAATTCCTCTGTCATGGAGAACAATTCTGTATACATGTTTCAGACTTTGTTAGTAATTTCTGGATATTTTTGTATGTATATTCATAAGGTATATTGGCTTTTCCTTGTGGTATCATTGTCTGTTTATGATTTGAGTAATACTGACTTCATAGAATGAGTTTGGAAATATGCTTTCCTCTTCCTTTTAAAGAAAACCTGAAGAGTTGGGATTCTTTAAATAGTTGGTAGTGAAGTCATCTGGTCATGGACATTTATAAGTGAGAAGTCTTGCAATTATCCATTTAATCATTTCTTGTTATAGATTTGTTCATCTATCTGATTTCTTCTTGAATCATTCTCTGTATTGTTTTATATAACTTATCTGTTTCACATAATTTATCTAATTTGCTGGGATGCAGTAATTCCTTTGATTTCTGTAAGCAGCTAATGATTTCCTCGTTTTTTTCATTCTTGATTTTA